TGGCAAAGCTCATGCGGTTCCTATTCGCTGACTGTTGCTGGTAGCCGTTATCGTTATAAATGCCACCGTCGTGGGTTGGGCTCATGACTCCAAGACCGATGTGAGGCGAGCTGGGACTGCCCGGCCGGGCACGGTTCGCGTGGCGTAGTTGATCCTCGGTGTGGCTCAGAGCTCGTTTGAGCCTGTCCAGCTCACGGCGCAACCGGTCGTTGGTCTGCTCGGCCGCTTCAAAATCACTGCGAGCCCGGACCAGCTGGGTCTCCTTGGCCTTGATCGAGAGCACGTCCCTGGTATGGTCCTCAATCAAGGAAGCATTCTGGTTCTTAAGTTCCTGGATCTCTGACAAGAGTTTCGACCGATCATGACGAGCGTCCTCGAGTTGCTTCAGCAGGCGATCATTGGCATCTCGGAGCTCTTCAAGTTCAGCACGCTCAATGTGGGAAAGGCCTGAAGGTGGGGGTGGCATTGGGGGAGTAGGGGTGTAATCCATTGGTACCGGCTTCGCGAGGGAACGCCCAGCAAGACCCCCTGGCTGGAGACCGCCACGTCCTAGTCCCATGCGTGGTGGTGCTGGCCGTTGCTCCTCGGGGGAAGGCGGATCATCAAGGTCCATAGGCTCCGGTTCCGGCTCTGGCTCCGCGCGTCGAGGAGATGGCGGCGCAGCAAATGCCGACCGCTTCTGTGGGGCCTTGATACCGCCACCAAGACCACCGCTAGGAGCAGCACCACCGGGTTTTGGTACACCTATCTTGTTACCCAGACCACCCATGCGCGGGGGCGCGGCGGCGGCAGGGGCTGGTGTAGGTGTCTGGGCAGGAGGCGCCGCTGCGCCAAATCCTGCTGGCTTCTTGGCACCGGCAGGTGCCTTCTTGACGGGACCCTTCTTCGCAGGACCCGGAGGCGGTGCTCGAGCTGCTGGCGGAGGCGGCTTTGGCTTATCCTTGGCCTTGACCTCAGCTGCCTCGTAGAACTCTTTGATCTTGTTCTTCCGGATGTCGTCCAAGCCTTCGAGATGCGGGTTCATCGCCCTTTCGCCAATGATCTTCATAATCGTACCCAAAACCTCGGCACCACCCGAGCGAAGAGCTTCACTGCTTTCGGCAAGAAGCTTTTTCGCGCACTCAACCATGGTCGCAATCTCTTGTTTGCTGGGGACATCCTTCGTTGTGCGCAGGCACCTGACGAGGAACTTCATGGTACCTTCCTTCACTTGAGGATTCTTGTGTTTGAGGAACTCGGTGATATCTTCCATGTTTTCCGTTAGATCAGTCGACAGGAAAACGGCATCCAGGGCAAGCCCCAACGCATCCGCCACTGACTGCTTCTTTTCCTTCAGACGCTCGAGGATAGGCTGCATGACGGTAGAGCGATACTTGGCAAAGCCCCTTCGCAGACCCTTTGCGAGTAGCTCGATACACTGTGCTGCCTGTGTGACGACGGCAATGTTGGCGTCCTTCATACACTTTGCCAAGCAACGTGTGATCTCGTTAAAGTCTCCCTCCTTGATTCTTGGAACGTTCACAACCGCGTAAAGGGCCTCACATGCCTCCTTTCTCTCTTTCCACTTCGACGAGGCGATATTCTCAAAAAAATCTTTTGGTACTTTGCTGATGATATCCTGTGGTTCGGCCAAATCGAATGCGTCGATTTCCCCTACGTCTTCATCCTCAGGTGCGTCAGCCATTTCTTCATCTTCGTCGCCGCCTCCTGCAGGAGCGGCGGCCTGCGCAGCTTGCTGTGATCGAAGAAGACGCTCTTGCTTGGGAGCCCCTTCGGATTTGGCCTTTTCGAACAGTTGTTCTAGATCATTTTGTTGAGTCGGCTTGAGTTCGCCCCAGAACATGGGCTTCATGGCGTCGCGCAACCACCTGTAGAACTCTACGGTAAGGTTAGTAGCCTCGGCTCTTACGTTCTTGTCGGCATGGCCAAAGACCTTGGGCAAGAACTTGAGCACGGGCTTGGGGTCTGCCGTCTTGCAACCATAGTTGTGGAAAATGGCCGTTAGCGCAGCGAGCGCAGCAGCGACGACCTTGGGAACCTTGTTGGAGAGGACGGGAAGGATTTCTTCGATAACGGGGCCGGGGACGTCGAGTTCGATATAAAGAAGAAGCGCTTCGAGAGAGTTGGTCTTGATGGCAGGTCTGGTAGACGGGAGACCCTTTTCGACAATGGACGTGATGGTGTGTTGTCTCGACCGAACAGCGCCTTCACGACCGCCGAACTTTAGGAACGCGCAAAGAGCAGCCATGCCTTCTTGTTGCGCAGCGACGTTGGAATCCGCGACAGCACCCTTCCACAAGCTGGGATCCTGGACAAACGGTCGAAACGCGGGATCGTATTCATCGGGGGTCTTTTCGAATGCCTGAGCGGCCTCTTCGTATGCTGCCTTGCGTACTTTCCAGACCTAGCCAGCGTTAACAGGAATTCTGGGACTTGTAAGCGCAACGAGAGAGACAAGTCTTGGACCGAAACGTACCTTGTGTACCCAACGGTCTGTAAGGGGCAAGGAGCTGAAGTCCTCTTCGTCACCCATGGTTGCGGTTCTGGGTGTTGTGCTTGTTATCGCAGGGCTTTCGGTCTGTGCTATTTCAGGGTTCGACGGATATCGGGACTCAGAAGACAGTCGAGGATATCGTCTCGACGGGTCGGGGAATGAAGGAAGGCTCGAAGTGCTCTGACTGGCGGGAGTTGAGGTTGATGTAGTCTTGGAGTCGAACGAGGGTGGGCGACCTAGGGAGGAAACTCGCTTGATTAGTCTCTGAAGCGAAAGGGGTTTTCTAGAGCCGACCATAATGGGAACAAGAGTGGCATTGGAGGGACGAAAGCGAAATGTGTGCCGTCACGGTGCCTGTTGGGGTGGCCTCTGGTGTCGATGGTGTTCACCCGTTCAGACGGAAGATAGGGAGGGGAGGACTTACAGAAGCTATCAACTTGCTAGCAAGAAACGAGGAGCGGACAGAAGCAGCAGTGACTTGGATGGATGATGCAATGTGTCAGGCAGCTGTTTTGTTTGTTGTCTGCGACTGGCAACAATGGAGTGTCGCGGGTGCGTAAAGGAAGGGAAGATGTACTGTAGGTGATGTTGAGGATGTTGCGGCGGGGAATCCGGTCGTCGCTTCTCGATTGCTGCGCTTTTAGCAATTGCGCAGTGTGGGCACGGTGGGCGATAAAGATCGAAGAACTTCCACTTGAGGGCCAGGAAGTTCCGTTGTCGTGTATTCCTGCTCGACCGCCCTGGTGTGCGTGTGTGATCCGCGGGGGGGAAGGAAGCGTATCCGCGAAGTTGGCGAGATACCGACAGCCGTGGTCGAGGGTGATGTATTGTTGTAGATTTGTTGACGGTGACAAGAGTCACGGTCAGTCGACGGCCACGGTAAGTAATTTGTTGTTCGTGCTTCCCGTTTCGCGAACAGGCTCTGGTTGGCGGGACAAGGGAGCGGACCAAACTGTGAGTGGACGCCGGGACGGGGTGCGACAGCGAGAGATGCCCTGGCGCGGGAGGTTCCCTTGTTCCCCTTGTTCCCCACGTTGAACCCTAACGCCTTGTGAACGCCCAGCAAAGTCTAATGTCGACCCCAAGCAATAACCCTTGCACGCCATAGCAGCCTCCTGTGGCTCAAGGGGAAGCATGTGGCTGCGGTGTCCAATCATCTGGCAGCCTCGTCTACTGACCGCTACCTGATGTCCATCAACCCCTCTTTGATCTGCGCCTGCTGGCCCGTCACAGTCCGCCAGCGCTTATGTGCCAGCTGTCGATAAAGGGTCCTCGGTATCTGCCCCTGTCCATTCCAGTTGATGGTGCTCCCTGACACCTATGTAGAGGCAGGTTAGGTACCTCTAGGTAACCCTGACAACAAAGGCCAAGGCCCTGTGATAAGCCTGACGGGATGAAGCTGATGCGTTGTTTCTCTGCCCCGCCAAAAGCAAGACAGTCAGTCCGCCCACTGAAAGGGAACCCAAACAAAGTGCTACAGTGGGTGAGCCGTCAGGGCAGTCTGGCTTTGTCGCTGCGGTTTCCATCTGAGGCAGTTCGTTACATGCCGGCGCCGCATTGGATCGCAACCACAATGCACATGGACACACACGAGACTGAAGCATCTTGAACAACATCATTGAGCACCAAACAGACAAACACCAAATCTTCGATACCAGTACCCGCCATATTGCCCTCAGCCCACTTCCATTCTATCTCGCCACGAACCATTCAAGCTGCAATCTAGAGCTCCATTCGCCTCGACTAGACGGGACTCGAATCCTACTTATTCTTCTCAGGAGCCCAGAGGCAGAGAGACCAACCAAAAAAAGCCACCAACGCAGAGCGCAGGGCAGCTAGAGACAGCGACAACTAAGTCCAGGGACAAGGGGTCCACTTTTAGGCGAACTCCTCACCGTTTGGATTTGGATCTGGATCTGGATCCGGGATCAAAGCGAGGAGAGAAAGAAGAAAGAGAGCCCGACAGCTGGCACATGTAACCAGGATAACAACAACAACAACATCACAACAATAACAACAACAACTACTACTACACGGTAACCCGACCTCCACAACACCGCCGCCGACCTCACCAGACTCACTACTCCCGTTGCTACATACTACCGTGAGCACCCAAAGGAGCAGCTCTCCCGCGCTCAAACACTTAGTAGAGGTAGCTTGGAGTGCTCGTGGCCAGCTCTCTGCTTCCCCCCCCATCCCGCTACCTGACCGAAAGGACCGGGCCTCCACCGAGATGGAGTATAAAGTCCTGAGCTGCCAAACAATTCCGTCACACTAAGGCATCGCGATCAAGATCTCCCCCGTATAAACAAGTCAACAAACGTGCACGATAACTGTACCTACCCTTCGGGCGACGCGGCAAGTGGCCACGATACGGACACGGACACGGTCAAGTCCTGGCAAACGAACGGACCGACACCGATCCCGACTCCGCGACAAACCAAAACACCACATTTTCTCCCAAGATACGCCCCTTTAGCTGACCCGCCTCCTTTGGCTGGCAACCATGTCCCAAATATTGACCTCTCGGCAGGCCGATGAGCTGTAGGTTGCTACTACTTGTCTGTAGTCGAGTCGAGACAATGGCTAACTTGTTGTCCGCCAACCCCACAGACACAGAGCCCTCATCGCATACCTCACTGCCGCCAACCTGCCCAACACCGCCGCCGCCCTCCGAGAAGAGTTGAACCTAAGCGAAGAGGTTTTTGATCCAGCTACGGCAAAAAAGTATGAAGGCCTACTAGAAAAGAAATGGACTAGTGTAGTCCGACTGCAGAAAAAGGTGCGCATCCTGTCCGCTGTCCGACCGCCAAATAACCTTTTCTCCCCCTCTCCCCCTTACCAGCCGCTTACCCCCTTGCCACATACAGATTATGGATCTCGAGTCGCGAAATCATATCCTACAGTCAGAGCTCGACAATGCGACGCCTACATCGCGACAGAACAAAGACCCTGCCGCCTGGCTACCCCGAGCACCTCCTCGACACACGCTTCAATCACACCGCGACCCCATAACCTGTGTAGCGTTCCACCCTGTTTTCTCGTCTCTAGCTTCCGGATCAGAGGATCAGACCATCAAGATCTGGGATTGGGAGCTAGGCGAGCTAGAGAGGACGATCAAGGGCCACACAAAAGCTGTCCTCGACGTCGACTATGGCGGCCCCCGCGGGAACACGTTGCTAGCTTCGTGCAGCTCAGATCTAACTATCAAGCTTTGGGACCCCCTAGACTCGTATAAAAACATTCGGACTCTACCCGGCCACGATCACAGCGTCAGCGCCGTGCGATTCATCCCTGGTTCTGGTAACCTTCTGGTTAGCGCAAGTCGCGACAAGACACTAAGGATATGGGACGTGAGCACAGGGTACTGCGTCAAGACATTGCGCGGCCATGCCGAGTGGGTGCGCGACGTGTGTCCATCCATTGACGGGAAGTATATACTCTCCACCAGCGACGATTACACAAGCAGGCTATGGGATGTAACGATAACAAACCCCGAGCCCAAGGTGACCTTGATCGGCCACGAGCATGTCGTGCTATGTTGTGCCATTGCACCTCCGGCCGCATATCAGAATCTTGCCGCCATGGCCGGTATCAAGAAGCCCCCTGCGACAAGCTCTGCCGAGTTTATGGCCACGGGCTCTCGAGACAAGTCGATCCGGTTATGGGATGCGCGCGGGACATGCATCAAAACCTTGGTCGGCCATGATAACTGGGTGCGAGGGTTGGTGTTCCATCCTGGAGGAAAATACCTCTTATCTGTATCCGATGACAAGACCCTTCGGTGCTGGGATCTGACACAAGAAGGAAAATGCGTCAAGACGATCGGGGATGCGCATGGCCACTTCGTCCAGTGCATCAAATGGGCCCCGTCGGTTATCAAGGATGCGTCGGTGAACGGTGAACATGGGGAACCAAACGGGACGCCAAAGAAGGGAGGAGCGGCTGCCAACCCCGAGGCTCAGATCCGTTGCGTTATTGCGACAGGAAGCGTTGACTTGAACGTCAGAATCTTTGCCAACTGATGCATACGCATGGCATAAGAGCGGCTAGAGCAGGATGTCTCAGGCAGAGAGAGCCCATGCACCGGAAGCAAAGACACAGGTTGCTGCTCAGCGGGCCCTTGCTGATATCCACCACTACCCGAGAGCTATATTCTTGGACGGCTGGCCGTGATGCTAGCTCCTAGAGCACTTGCCCCGAAGAACATCATTGCTGTTTTTTGTGAATGGGGCTTGCTAGTACTCGCACGCATCACAGTCCTTGGATGAGACCTGGAGAAGCAAACCCACAAGAGAAAAAGAAGAAAAGAAAGGGAAAAAAAAAACACAAAAAAGACTAAAAGGAAAAAGGAAAAAGAGACTTCTCGGCGGGCACCTCACGGGAAAAAGGGGTCTCGTCACGACTAATACCCACCCATTTGAGCAAAAAGCAGGGAGGTAGGGTGACGGACGGGCACTCCTTCTTGCATCATCTTCTCGTGAGACCCATCAAATGATAATGTTGCGCCTGATGGATGATGACTGATGAGAGATCTTTTTTAGACAGATGAAAGAGAAACAGTAGAGAGGAACGGCACGGGAAACTGAGAGGATTTGTAGATATGAACAGAATTCAATAGATACCCCAATTTTTGGACGACTTATACTCGAGTGCCGGTTCTCGTCCGTTACCATGGGAAAGCAGCTCTTTTGGCTTTGCAGCAGTGATGAGTCTCGACGATAGCCGATACTTTGTCTTTACCCTTCTTCTGCTCGTTCTTCCAGTCGCGAATCCTAGCATACACTCTACCAACTCTCCGGCTGGATACAGTACTCCCTTCTGACAACCAGCTTCAACACTCTAAGGACTTGTACCCGACCTCAAGCTACCAACACAGCCAATAAACTTGCACATTGTCCTCCTGGCATTTCTGCTTAGTCTTGTGTAACTGAGTTATTCCGTGTGAAGTCCAAGTGGATTTCGCAAGCTGGCGTACCAATTACGTTCAGTTGCACCTAGTCGTAGCAATAACCCCCACGGGGAAGCCAACCCATCGCTTGTGCCGCCCAAGTCGGTTGTACAATTTACCTAATACCGATCTTCTTCTGTAGCTATGCCGCTGCAAACTGTTGAACTTAAGCATGCATGTCTCACTCAGCAAGCAGAAGGGTCCTTACAAAAACATTTCTTGAGCTTTATGGCCTATGCGGGCTTTATGGCGGTGTGACCATTCCACTGCCGTCGAGTATGTATATACTTACTTATTTCTCTAGTGTCCAGTAAGATGACTACCTCTACGTAGTAACTCGAATTCCCTCTCCCCCTTCCTCTCTTGTATGATTCGCCCGCGAAAACTCACGATGGAACTGTTCTTACCCCCTCATGCCATGACGTGTGCTCCATCTTTCTTTCCTTCTGTTTGATCGAGGCGCCTCGCCAGTCGCCACTGCCGTCGTTTGTGCGCCTAAGTACTAGGTATGTATGTGTGTATGTCTTGTTTAGGAAGCAGCTACATACATACTACCCTGCCACTATACTAGCGAGGCGCCAAACCTACTGTACCCTATGGAAGGGATGCCCCTTGGCCACCCCTTTTTTTCCCCACGATCCTGCCCTTGTCCGCGCCTACCAGATCGACGCAGCTACCTTACTGTAATGGACGGGAGGACCCGTTACCCGTACGTAAGTACCCTCGTACCCGACGAGCCGACCTTCGTGTACACCACTTTAACCCGTAACTGATGTTGCCGAGTCGAAGAGGTAATGAAACTGACGCCACGCCACGTCTTCCCTTTTAACGAATCAGCTGCGGTTTTGACAATGTCTTTTTTCGGCAAAGAAATTCAGTAACCTTTTACGTATTCTGTAGTTTGTACTATAGAAGTAAGAAGTGCGCCGAAAAGTCCACTTCCAACATGGAAGGTCCACCCGATACAGAATGTCAATCTGGCACACCTGCCCCCTTGCTACGAACGCTTATGGAAGGTGCACTGCACAGGCTGTGGACACAGGGTACTTAGCCCAGTTGCGATGCCTTCACCTCCCCTTGGTATTGGATACTAGGTGTGATCCGGTCCCCAAAGCCAAGGGTGGAGTTCCAGTCTGGTCAACTTCCTTTTTATCAGCTCAACACAATCCGCATATACAGCCAGTGGCTACTTAGTAGCTTTCCATCCATTTGCCTGAGACACAGAAGGACATGAGCGGCTCTGTGTACTCAATCTGTGGCCGACTCTACGACAAGTGGACGTACAGTGTGTTCGGTATCGTGGGGGAACATCATCCGCCGGCCATCGCCTTGCCTCACCCCCTCCTCCTTCCCACATTGCCCTCTACAAGGATTGCCATCGTGTATGCCGATCGACATGCAAGCTTCCGGACTACGGGGGATACGGGCACGGCTGCGTTCTGTGTGATGATCCGTGGTTGATGAGTCGCGCCAACTTGGCGGCAAGAAACTGCAGTGGTAATACTGATGATGCGACAAGATCCAATTACTGAGTCGTGAGGCGACATTGACGCTTGACGGAGCTGTCTCATTGGAAGTTGGCGTGGTGTCAAGGCTAGGGAATCGTGCGGGGAGAATACGTAGACATGAAGCTCCAAGAGAAACGGGAGGCTTGAACGATGGGCAGCCAACTACTTTGAGGTTAGATGTGAGTGAGAGCGGGACACCAGTCACCATCGAGGAGGCCAACCAAAGGGGTACTGGGGAAGAGGACACGACATTGAACGCAAGTCTCGATCACCGCGGAGAAGGGTCCAACCCGGTTCTCCAGCTCGACTGAGGGCGTCTCAAGGGCACGAAAAACCTATAAATACCTCCTCTTCAACCTCTTCCCAGCCTCGATTCTCTTCTTCAGCATCATCACACATACCAGACAGACAACACAAGACAACCCAATCTCTTTCACAAATCACACTCTCGCAATCCCAAGCCCTCTAACCAACCAATCAACCAACCACCTCCTCACCCAACAAAAACATGGCTCCCTCAGTCGACCCTACCAAGGTCATCTTCTACCAGAAGAAGAACTTCGAAGGCTCCGGCGACACTTACGCCGTAGGCCAAGACGTCTCAGTCCCTGGCTCTCTCAACGACAAGTACTTCTCCGTGGCCGTCGGCGCCTCTGCAAAGGTCATTGCCTGGCAGCACTACAACGAATCAGGCCACTACCGCGAATGGACAACATCCCAGGCTGACATCTCGGACATTGGCGGTTTGTCTCGCTTCCGGGTGGTCGACGACGACACGCGCGCCATCTCTTTCCTGTTCAAAGACGCCACGGGAGGGGCGGACAAGCAGTACAGCTTGAAGGTGGATGCGAGGGACGTCGGGACCGTGCTGCTCTACAGTAATGATGGAGACGAGTATGGGTTGGTCGGGATTATGCCAGAGGGAGGACCGCCAGTTACGACGGCGGTGTATGTGAGGGATGAGCATTCCGGGGTTTATATCGCTGTGGGATCGGTGTATTTCGAATGGAATAAGGATAACAACGAGGTGGATGTGGTGGAGAACGAGCATTGGCCGAAGCAGTTGAAGTCGAAGAGGACGGGGAAGAGTAGCTTTGAAGTTACTCTGGTTGACAACAAGCCGTCGGAGTGAGAGTGAGGGGGAAATACAACAGGGAAGCTGGACGCTGGATGGCATGCACTGGATGAGGATAAATAGGTGATGCTGAGATGTTTGCGAGAAGCGAGGCTGAGATTGAAATTTGGGTTCGTGAAGTAACATCGGGATTGGATATATAGGTACTATCGTCGCTCGTTAACAAGAAGCAATAAATGAAATCCATACGGGAGTATCTCTCATCGGAATTGCTGCAACGCCGGATCCGCCAAATGCGTCTTATCGTTAGGCGTAGCAGGATATCTATCCTGTCCATATGTCGCATTCAGCGTGACAGCCCCCACAATCTCACCATTTTCCAGCCGAATATGAGTCCTGATAGCAAACTCCTTGAGACCTTCCTGATCGACGACGATCTGACGAGAACCCCGAATCCAGCTACCATAGCCTCCATAGCCAGTGTGCTGGCCAAAGCAGAGGTCTATTCCACGTCCACGTCCATATCCATGTCCGTTTCCTTCCCCTTCTCCTTCGTCGTCCTCCCCAGCGACAATAGCCTTCTGCTGAACACCAGGGACTTTTCCATCCCACTTATAACACCACGTATTCCCATGATCGTGCCCAGAAAAGAGTGCCATCATGCCGGGAATCGAAGCGATAGCTTCCATAAAGGGGACGTCTTGCTCACCATAATCACAGCCCTCGCCACTCTCCCCATTTGCACACCACCCTTGTCCTTGCTGCGAAAGAGGCTGATCGTCGTTGATTCCCGGTTGACGGTGTGCATCTACACCTCCCTGCTGCTGTCCTTGCTGGCCTTGTTGGAGAGCCAAGGAAGCGTTGGTCGGGATGTGGACGAATCCTATCGACGGGATTATTCTTCCTTTTCCGTCAGCTCCGCCTCCTCCGGCTTTGGCTGCGATGGAAGCACTGGTGGATTTGAACCAGTCTACCACTGATTGATGGACCCAGTTCGGCTCGCTGAGGAGTTGACCCGTCTTGGGATGCCGTTGTTGGTATTTGTTTCCGCCTCTGCTGTCGAAGAACCAGAGTATTAGGGCTGGGGTGTCGCAGCCGCCGCTGGCTGTCTGCTGGTTTTGGTTTTGGTTTTGGTTCGGGTAGAAGTTGTTGATGTTGACAAGGTTCAACGCCCATCGATACCATGGCTGCCGCGCCCTCCGCTGTACTACTTTCGGGTTGTTGTTCTCGCAATGTGCTGGGTAGACCGGGAGATAATAGTTAGTAACCCCCGCCTCTTCATCAGTAGTAACCATCCTCGCCGTCCTCGAACTCAGCCACTTCTTTTCTTCTTCAAACAACGCCTCCCTCGAAAGATTAAAAGCACTATCGTGATTTCCGTACGTACTCGCCCACGTCAACCCTCTTCGCACCATCGGCTCCACGATTTGGTCGATATACGCTGTGCTGTTTTCCTTGAAGGTATTCTCGCCCGTGATCAAGTCCCCGTTCAATACAACGAGGTTTGTTGACGGTTCAGAGTCAAGTACGCTGTTCATCACTCGGATGGAGGAAGCGTCTTGCAGGGGACCCCATTTTTCCCAGGCGTTCTCGCCGAAGTGGAGGTCTTCGAAGATGGAGATTTGGAAGGTGTTGGTCAAGCCCCTGGGGGAGAAGGTGAGGGGGGGTGGTTCAGAGAGGGAGGAGTGGGTGGGGGTTTGGCGGCCGTGGGTTTGGTCGGGTAGTAATAGGAGGAGGAGGAGGAGAAGGGTTACAGCGGCAACAGAGGATGATCCGGCGAATAACTTTTGCCAGAAGGGGGAATGGCGGCGGTTCCTCTTGATGGCGGAGTGGTGGTTGGTGTGACGAGGTAGCTCGGTCGGAATGTGATGAAGGTCTTTGCGATCTTTGGGGTGAAATGCCATTTTGTCAGCAACTGAAACCGCGGAAAGGATATAAGTTGAAGATGTCTGCGCTTAGAGGGCACAATTGGGCATCCAACTTGACTACGTTGTGCAATGATCTAGCTATTGAACCGAACAACATCAAGAAGCGAACAAGAGCGGGAATCAAGGCGATCAAAGCGGAGGCTATTGTAGCAGTGAATACTACCAGGAGATCTGTCAAATTGCCATGCCCGGTTAAGAAAGTCTTTCACCGATCAACAGATGCGACTGTGAAGGCCGGTGACTGGTGCGCGCATGCATAAAAATGCATCTCCAACGGGCATCACCAGTCTACAGATGTGGGTGTTTTCACATATCATCAAAGTAAAGCAGAAACAAAAATGCGGGGGGGAAAAGTCGGGAGACAAGGCAAAAAAACGAAGATAAATGTGATCCGACCCAGGCTCGATCTGGGGACCTTCAGTGTGTTAGACTGACGTGATAACCAACTACACCATCGGACCAACTGTTAAAGTTAGAGCATCGAGGATGGGTTCACATTCCCGCACATGCGTTTGCAAAATCTTCTATTTTTCCCATTTCTTTCTGCAGCGCTGCGAGTGGGGATATGAGACGAATTTAGGGGTCCGTTCAGGGGTCCAGGGGTGTTTGGTGGTGGAGCTACTGTTCTCGCTTCGCTTACGGCGCTTCAGGAGGCAAGGACTCCCCCGCCGGGGATAGCTTCCTTGTTCTCCTCCGCGCCGGGGACGATGACCTTTTGTTCCGACCCCACGGCGCTCCGCCGGGGACCAGGGCGGAGCGGAGCGGGATGCTACGCAACCATCTAGTGTACTGTGTACATACCAGTTGGCTGTGGCTGGCACTTGATATCGGCATCGAGAACGAGGCCTGTGTAATTGGTTGACTGAGCCACAAAGGTTGGTCTTGCTAGACAGTTGATGGCTAGTCACTCGGAATGTTGGAGTATCTAGTTATGTGCTACGAACCTGTTCGGTCTTGAGCATCTCCCGGACCTTGGAAGAGCCCTGAAGGGGAGACCAAGCAGGCAAGTGGAAGTCAACTTAGCTGCAACATAGTCAAGGGTCGTATCTCGTACGAATGCCGGGAAAGGGGTGCCTGGGGTGCTGGTAAAACAACAACGAGTGATGACGAGATGCGAGGAATGAGACACCAATACGCGAAACGATATTACTTGCATTAGTTGCCGTGATTGACGCTTTTATTGGTCAACAAGCGCGGGACCAACGTCAAATTCATTAACGCCGGTGGTTGTTGGTTAAACCAAGGCTGACCAGACTCCCGAAAAGATCAAAGGCCGGACCCATAGAATGGTGTTTGTTCAGTTACACAGCGTTCCGTACCAACTTGGCAACTTGCGATGGGGCCGACAAGCCGCCGACGGATGGTTTCGAAAGGACTACATATAGGACTCTATCAGAGGGAGGCCATCGGACACCGGGAGATCCGGGACGTGGAGGTACAGGACATTGCTAAACGGCAGAAAGTGTGGCTGTTGTGCAACGGCTTTAGAGAAAATGTCAGCAACGTCGAGATACGCCGAACCCATGACTCTTCGGACCATATCTCTTTAGCTTACCCTTCCCAAACAGCCGCAATACTGGGAGTTGGCCGAAGAGCTGGTTATATGGAGTCATTTTTGCAACCGTCTATGATCCAAATGACGCTGGAACGATGCACATCAGCCATGTGTGTAGCGGTAATAGATGGGTAGCCCTAGTGATTGGGGTGCTCAGCCTCCCTGGATGTCTGCTTATGGGCTCGAGGTGTGAGATCGAGGCTGTTCCCTTCTGGATGGGAGTCCCGTATTGCGACACCGGCCGGGTTTTGCAAAAGCGTTCTAATCGTGCAGAAAGATGAATTTCCCTCTCTCGTTATTTCAAATCCTTCACGTATGGGAATCAGGCAGCGACACGGGTTGTCGTGGACGACAAGTGGCAATAGGAGCACGGTCTCGTCGGGTCTCGCCCTTTTGTCGAAAGTTGTCCCGCTCAGGTGCCGCCCGCGGACCTCTTAGAATGTGCTTACAGGGCAAAGCACCACCGGTCTCGGGTTCTGGGGAATCGATAAGGCATGGGAAGGATTCTTGATATTGACTCCCATCTTGGGGATGAATTGACTTTGGCGAGTAAACAAAAGTTACATACAGTTGCCTGTCCACTGTAGTGTACACCAATAGAGGTAGATATATATATCTCTACACAGTACATGGCGAGTGAGTGTAGGCGAGGATCTTGCTGAAACCAAATCCGTGGTCTTGCCCCCTCTTGGACTAGCCTCAGATGGTGTGAAAAAAAATAGTCCGGATTCGCTTCTACCAAACCTCCTAGACACGGCAGCGAGTGTCCGGACCTTTTTCTCATACCACCTAAGCCTCAGGGCGCTGCCAGTTGATCGACACAGGGTTCCAGCTGCGAGCACAGCAAAGTGGATTCAGGAGCAGCTGTCCGAGTGGTCTCACTGGCTGCCCCTGGGAGTGCACTAACAATTTTACATCTCCAAGTGTTTCTTTCTCACGGGCAACACATAGTTTTGACACGTCCAGGTCTCCCCGATTGCCGACCCCTCGACACCCTCAACACCTCCACCAACGTCAGAATCACCAATCACCACCACTTCAGCCTCCTTTGCGCCTGCTTGTGAATCCCACCGTCCCGGAGTATCGTCGAGTATCGTGGACTAGGAATGGGATGCCAGGCATGGATTCCCTTCTTCTGCAACCCTGCGGCTGGTTGAAGTGCCCCCCCCCCCATCGCTGAGTGCATGTACGTACATGTTGGCGGCGATCCCCCCTCTCTTAGTCTAGGCTGTTTCTTCTTCAGTCCCTCTGTCAGACTGTCTTGCCTGTCACTGCTTCCTTTCCTCGCTTCTTCCCTTTTAGCGGGCTATGTCGTGTTTGCTCCCGTCAACGTCCTTCCAATCCCCTTCCCGTTTCATGTCGACGACATCGGACATTTCTATATCGCCAAGTCGAATGATCGCGCGTCACCCCAAGCCTTGCCTTCGTGGACGAGCCAACAAACAGCCAACACTGTGCGATGCCGACTAGCGCCTGACATCACTCCTCCCCCGACGTCTCAGCTCCATCTTCTCCGAACAACCAACAACGCATCTTCACTTGTCTTTCGTTTCGTTGGGTGCTAATGGTACCCGGGGTACTGTTACCTGCCTTCTACTCTCCTCCTTTTCGTCGTCGTCGTTTTTGAGGTGCCAGTCCTCGTTCATGATACCCCTTCCTCTTGTTGTACTCTTAGTTTAATACATTCCTCTTTTGGCCCTTCCACGCCTGTGCCACCCCTCCCCTTCTTCTCTTCCCTCTCGTCATGGAAGGCCCCTCGGCGCAAAAGGTCCTCGTCCCGCGCATAGATACGGCTTCGACCTGGGTTCAGATCGAGGAGAGAACTGCCGAGAATAGGCTACTGTCGGTCGTTGCGCAGGTCCTCGACATTCCCAGAGAACAAATCCAGCTCCATGAATCCTTTAAAGACTTGGGCGGTGACGACAGGTCCGCCGTGGCCCTGAGGGCCGAGTGTCTGGAGGTTGGCATTGACATCAAAGTTTCCGATATCCTTCGCTGCCCGACCCTCGCTGAACTTCAAACCTGTATTATCCCCAAGTACGAGCACCCCGTGGTCCGTAAGCCGCCCGACAATATCGAAACCAACGTGGTCCCGGTCGAACCTCGCGAAATACACAGGCCTGCGAGGCTAGCCGTTACCCGCGACGCAAATGCGATGATCGCGACAAAACGCTCGCGCAACTCGAGCCAGGCCAGCTCCGGCTCGCAAGCTATACATATGACAGAGATAGAAAAGGCGTTGGGGAACCAAAAAGAAATATCGAGGATAGCAACGGTGCGACCAAAGGCAGGCATCCTCGAAGGGAAACTCGTTGCCCTCTTCACCCTCTCCACCACTCAGTCATCCCGAGCCAGTTCATCCGATGTCAGCCTGATCTCCCAGTCCAACTCCATCTTCGCCGGCACCCAAGTCACCCTTCTCCGTCAAGTTGCCAAATCCCTTCTTCCGCCGACCAGCCTGCCCGATGTATGGATCGTCTTGGAAAGCATGCCCCTTACGGAGTCCGGCCATGTAGATACTCGACGATTGCGAACTTGGATTCAGAACATGAATCAGCAGCTCCATTACCAGGTGTCCAATCTCCAATCCCAGGTGCCCCTGGAGGAGCCAAAAACGACCATGGAACGCTCGTTACAGAGGCTGGTAAGCAAAGTGCTGGCTCTTTCTCAGGTTCAGATCGGCGTCAACCTTTCCTTCTACCAGCTAGGAGGCGATGAGACGACTGCATTGGAACTTGTTGCCCGGTGCAAAAATGAGGCTATATACATCGAACCCGTGGAAGTGCTTGGATCAAATACCCTCTCGGAGTTGGCCGCCATTGCCGAGTCCAGGGGCTTCCAGGAGAACCAATGGGAGGAGGAAACTCACGATTTCTTCGATCTATCTCCGATGCAGCATTTGTACTTTGAGTCCTCTATGGGCGGAGACCCGAACCGTAGATCTGCCGGCGATGGGACTTACCGCTTCAACCTAAGCCTCTTTCTCCGCTTCAAAAAGGACGTCTGTTTTGAGGACGTCGCGGCCGCTCTGGAAGCTATTGTTGCCCACCATCCAATGCTTCGATCGCGCTACAGTCGGGGATCTGATGGCTGGATGCAGCTTATTCTACCTGATGTTGCAGGATCGTATAACCTTCGCCGCCACTCGATATCCTCAGATCGCGAACTGGACACCATTATCGGACAAACACAGCTCGCTATCGACATCGAGAAGGGGCCAGTCTTCGCTGCCGACTACTTCACAACCCACGACGCTCAGCAACTGATCTATCTTGCTGCTCACCATCTTGCTGTTGACCTACCTTCATGGCGCATCATCATTCACGATCTCGACGAGCTTCTGGACTCGGGCAGTTTTCTGTCCCAACGGTCGATGCCCTTTCACAAATGGGTCGAGCTACAAAAGTACGATGTTCAAGGGAAAGACCCAAAAGAGTTCGTGCCCTTCAAACTCCAACCGGGTGATTATACCTTTTGGGGTCTGCGAGAAATCCCCAACTCGTACGGCGACACGCAAGACATTAGCTTCGCTCTCAGCTCGGAGCTGACGGCGATACTGCAAAGTTCCTGCAACCAAGTTTTCAAGACTGATACGGTTGACATCTACCTCGCTGCGCTTATGTTGTCGTTTGCACAAACATTTCCCGATCGGTCTGTGCCAGTGGTGTGGAATCAAGAGCACGGTAGGGACATGTGGAGGTCGGACATTGACATTTCCGAGACAGTAGGGTGGTTTACAGCTCTGTGCCCGATAGCCCAAAAGGTAGAAGGTACAGACGACTTCATCGACGTTCTCCGACATCTCAAAGATACGCGCCGGTCAATACCAGCTCATGGATCCAAATACTTCGCGTCACGGTTCTACAACAGCGCTGGGCCTGACACCTTGCGCCCCGACTGGCCGTTCGAGGTCATGTTCACCTACGCAGGCTCGCTGCAACAACTAGAGCGCACCAACGGCGTGATGGAGCAGTTGCCTCTGACAAGCCGATCTTTCGACTCCCCGACTTCGGATATTGGGTCGAAAGTGGGCCGCGTGGCTTTGTTCGAGATCAGCGCCATGCTTGACAAAGGTACCGCCAAGGTGTCGTTCACATATAGCAAGTTTTGTAAAGACCAGACTCGCATCGCGCAATGGGCTCATAACTATGAGCACCTGCTTCTCGAGGCGATTGGTAGGCTGAGGTACCACCCTCATGAGCTAACGCTTGCCGATGTTCCTCATCTTGATGTCACATATGAAGGTCTGACGATTTTCAACAAACAGCGGGTAGCGGGTCTGAAACTGGCAAGCGTGCAAGATGTTGAAACCATCTACCCGGTGACTGCCGTACATCAGGCCATCTTGATCAGTCAAGCTCAGCGACCAGATACGTGCTATCTGCATGCCATCTACGAGTTCGCATCACCACATGGCGATTCTATTGATATTGCCAGACTATGCAACGCGTGGCAGCATGTATGCAACCAGCATCCAGCCCTAAGGACCATCTTTACCGAGAGCGTCAGCGAAACTGGGTTGTGGGACATGGTGATTCTTCGTCGGGCTTCGCCGGATATGCTCTTCATTGATACAGCCCCTGCGGAAGATCCAGTGTACGAGCTCGACAATCTCCCAGATCTTCGACCGACAGACAACAAGCCGCTCCACCGCTTGACGGTGTGCAGAGCTCCAACCAGGACGTTCATCAAGCTGGATATTAGCACCGCGCTTTGCGATGTAAGTTTGTTCCCGTTCTCTCTTGCATACCTCCAGTGCTTAGAAAGTGTAGTCTGTCAGCATTCACCTCATTTTACACGATCTTCGAAGAGCCTACGTCACCGAAAAGGCCATTCCTGAGCCTGCCCACTTTGGATATCCTCATTATATGCAGTTTTTGAGCGGCATACGCTGTGGATCCAGTGTTGGCTTTTGGCGTGAGAGGCTTTCCGACGTCGCACCAAGCATGTTCCCTCGGCTTACTGTGTCGCCCGACGAGCAGCGCTTCGTCAATTCTTTTCTCGACTTGGAGATCACGTCCTACGAACTGTCTGGGTTCACACGATCCCACACGACTACTGTCGATGCGATTGTCCGTTTGGCGTGGGGCCTTGTGCTGCGATGCTTCACCGGGTCGAACGCTGTGTGCTTCGGCTACCAAACAGACGGCCGTGACACCTCCATTTCCGAGCTACAAACCGCCGTAGGTTCGTTTGCCAATATTGTGGCCTGCAATTATGATCTGACGCCGCATACATCCCTTAAGATGGCGTTGGAGGTTATTGAAGATCAACTTACAGCTAGCTTGCCGCATCAACACTTTACCATGGCCGAGTTGGAACATGCTATGGGCATGAAGGGTGGCGAACACCTCTTCAACTCGTGCCTAACATTCACCGAAGAGCCCGCAGGACTGAACAGCAAGTTCACCAAGAGGACAAACTTTGAGCTCAAGCCACTCTCGCTCAAGCAGACGTCCGATGTGGACGTACTTTTTAATACGCGGTTTGCCGGGGGAAAGCTGGTGGTCGACATCGGACAAAGGGTCATGTCCGAAGAGCAGGCTCTCAATGTGGCCAATACGTTTGGAAAAGCGATCCGCACCATCCTTTCAGCACCACAAAATTCCATTGGAACAGTTGACCTGTTCAGTGACCGCGACTATGCCCAGTTGTTAGCCTGGGGCGCTGACTCGCCTTCTGCCAATAGCACACGAGTTGAAAGCCTTGTTCACGATCTTGTAAACAAGCAAGCCAGCGCTCAGCCCAACTCTCAAGCCGTCTGCGCATGGGACGGTACTTTCACGTACCAGCAACTAGATGAAGAGGCAACAACCCTAGCCCATCATCTAGTGGATGTGGGCGTTGGACCACACTCGGTTGTGCCTGTGGTGATGGAGAAGAGTCGCCTTACCATTGTGGCGATCCTCGCTGTTCTCAAGTAAGTCGTGCCTACTTCCGTCTTCTTCGCCTGCTAACCTTCGTCCATACAGAGCTGGCGGTGCGTTTGTCCCCATCGATGCTTTGGAATTAGGCTTGATCCAACCCATCTTTGAACGGCTCAACTTCTCGAGGGTCGCGGTCGCTTCTGAGCGCGCTGCCCTGGTCCTTGGTAACCTGTTCGACGATGTTGTCACCTTGAATGATGGCCTAATGCACAGCCTTCCCCGAGATCGAAGATCGCTCACCTCGATGGCTACGCCTTCCGATCCAGCCTGTATACTTTTTTCCCGCGTCTCATCAGGCGTGGCTCGTGGGGTTTCCTTCAGCCACACTGCATTATCCACCGCACTTCTGGGTCAGGGCCCCGCCGCGAAGATTGGGCCTTTGAGCCGCGTCATGCAGCTCTCGTCTTTCAACGTTGACATTTGCGTTTCGGAGATCCTCACCACACTCGCTCATGGAGGATGTGTGTGTGTGCCGTCTGCGAACGAGCGGCTCAAGGATTTTGCAGGTGCTGTCAACCGTATGCAAGTCAACTGGACTTATATGACGCCACACCTCTCCCGTAAAGTCGACCCGACAAAGGTGCCAACCTTGAAGGCGGTGTGCTTCAGGACTCGGAGCCTGGACGAAGACACATACAGTGCATGGCATGGTAAAGCCAACATAATCCTGGCCTATGGGCCACACGATGTCTGTCCTTTGGGCATCTCCTTCCTCGAGGCCGTCGGGGAAAATCAACTTCGAAGTGTCGGGCGCCCGTTTTGCGGTAGCTTTATGGTTGTTAATCCCGACGACCGCAAGAATCTGGTCCCTGTCGGTGCCGTCGGAGAGCTGGTAGTAGAGGGGCCAACCTTGGGTTGCCATTACCCTAACAGGGAGTCTACTTTGGGGCCAATGTCGCCACTTGGACCGTCTGCGGGCAACCCGTCACGGTACTTCAAAACTGGACACAGAGTTAGGTATACTGACGGTGGGTTGATGGAGTTCATCTCTCACAAAGACGAGGATGTTGGCAGCAAGGAAAGACCAGTAGACACGGCGCAGATAGAGCGGTATCTTCGACGGTGTCTTGGACAGGGAGTTGATGTCCTGGTAGACAAATTGCCCTTCCGAAGCACGGATGACGCGCCGGTATTGGCTGCCTTCATCGAGTTCGGGGATAGTATCCTCGACGGCGAAGACGACCTCAACTCATTGGGCGCGACGGCTAAAGAGCAGCTGTTCATTGCTAGGCAGCTTGTCGAAATTGGGTTGCGAAGCAATGCTGCTCCACCCGGAATCCCGTCAATCTTCATCCCAGTGAGGCATCTTCCAATTACCCCTTCACTCAAGGTCAATCGACGTCGCCTCCAGAAAATGATCAGTGGGTTATCCAAAGAGAAGCTCAACGCACTGTGCAGTGCCTCGACAGTTGGCGACGCGAAGCTCACACAATTTAAACCTCTCCCGCTGACCGACAATGAAGAGCGAATGAGGGTGATTTGGGCAAAGGTCCTAGGCGTAGAGGAAGCTCGTATCCGTGCTGGTGACGGCTTCTTTGGTGTTGGTGGCGACCACGTGCTTGCTGCTCAATTGGTTACCGCCTGTCGGCATGAAGGCATATCGATCTCAATCGCCGATGTCCTCCGAAATGTCACACTCACCGAGCTATGCAGGACAATGTCTTCCATTGAGCCGCTGCAGTCCGACAGTTCAGTTTCGCCGCCGGTGTTGAACCCTTTGCCCACTGCGTCTGACCCGAATGTAGTCCAACAAATACTCCTGGAGAAAGTCATTGCCCCAAAGGTGGGTGTTGATGCCCACGGCATCAAAGACGCCGCCGAAGCAACCTCTACGCAGATGCGACATATGGAAACCGGAATGCTCCGCGGCCGTGCAAATATCAACTATTTTACGTTCATGTTCACTGGCCCTGTCGATGCTAAGAAGCTGGAAGATGCATGCATGACGCTCGTCACCATTCATCCCATCCTTCGTACCGCCTTTGTTCCGCACAACCGAAAGGTGTACCAAGCTGCGATCAAGTCAGCTAATGTCGAGTTCAAGAGGCACACCTGCCCCACTTGGAGGTTGAACGCGGTCATGGAGAAGTCGATCCGGAAAGACCAAGCCTCACCGGTGGCCTTCTGCTCTCCCATGACAAAGTTCATTTTCATCGATGGAGGAAAGCAGTCGATACTCATTCTTCGACTCTCCAAAGCCCAATACGACGACCTATCGATGGCCTTGTTCGTCAAGGACCTCAAGAAGCTGTATGGTGGGACACAGAATCCACCTCGTCGCCCGACCTACTGCGAATTTGTCCGGTCCGTTGAGCTGGCTAACTCACAAGGAGCGGAGGAGTACTGGAAGAAACTGCTCGAAGGTAGTACGGTTACGCAGGTAGTCGAGCATCCCTTGCCATATCGGGTGTCGGCAAACATCAAGACGTTACGTCATGTGATGCCTCTCGGCTCATTGTCCAGCCTCGGAATTTCTTACGAGACCATTCTGAAAGGTGCATGGGCAATGGTTCTTGCTAGTCTCTCAGCATCTCCCGACGTAGTTTTTGGCGAGCTTGTTGACGGTCGCCATGTCACACTCTCGGGCAACCAGTCGGTAATGGGGGTCATGGGGCCAACAGTCAATCAAATCCCCGTCCGGGTGCAGTTTCCAGATACACCGCTTACACCGTTGGCCCTGCTTCAGGACGTGCAGACGCAGCGAATATCCAGGATACCCTTCGAGAATCTGGGGACGCTAAACATCGTGGAGAAGTGCACACCATGGCCGTACTGGACTCGCTTTAGCACTCTGATCCAACACCAGTACGAGGATACGGCCATTGTCCCATCGGAACCCAAGTCATTCCATCTCGGTACTGCCTCGTGCAAGTTCACTGTTATCGAATCCAGAGCTCAGGATGTTCCAGATCTATTCATTAGATCAATTGCCCGCGGAAACAATCGGGTCGAGTTGTCGGTCACGTTTTGTGTCGACCGTGTCCCTGAGACTTTTGCTGATGAGGCGCTGCGAATGATCTGCGCCACCATCAACCTTCTCACCAGCGTCAACATTACACAGCCACTGATTCCATCCGGTTACCAATACAAGAACATGGAGAAGAAGATCCCACTTCCTCTTAGGGACTTGTTGGACGCATGCACGGCGCACACCAGTGCCGGCCGGTCTGATGCTGTCAAGGCGCTGACAAAAGATCAAGAAGGTGGCATTCAGGCCGTCATCTCCAAAGCGTGGACAGCGGTCGTCAACCCTCGGGCTCTGGGTGTCCCTGAAGCGCAGGTGCAAAATGCTGCCTTCTTTGATCTATGGGGAAGCCTCATCCCCGCCGCTCAACTAGCAACGCAGCTGAACCGCGAACTGCCCAAAGCCAATATTCCCGGTGTCGATGCCACCGTCGCAGTCACTATGGAGGAGATCGTGGAGAACCCCACAATGGTCAAGCAGTTTGAGCTAATAGCAGTCAAGATGAAGAACAAATCCAACGGCACCGGGTCCTCGTCATCATTACCTTTGCCCAAGGCCAAGGACAAGGAGAAGGGCAAAGACACCGCCGTAAACAACAAGCCTACGTTGACAGACAACACCAGGCTTGCCCCGATCCAAGCCGCCGTGCGCAGAAAATCTAGCATCAACCTTGCCGTTGCCAGCGTCAAGGGAACGTTCCGCCGCTTTGCCTCCACTGTTGGCCGTTCGGGCGCCGAACCGTCTGCCAAAACATCCTCAGCAGCTCCGAATGAATCCACGACCATGGCCATCGGCATCGCGTCCGCCATGGTCGCCGAGCTTGTCTCTCCCTTTTCTCCAAACGTCGTCAGTGCAAACATCAATGCCCGTATCGACGTTCCTGGTCGACAACAACAACAACAACAACAACAACAACAACAACAACAACAACAACAACAACAACAACAACAACAACAACAACAACAACAACAACAACAACAACAACAACAACAACAACAACAACAACAACAACAACAACAACAACAACAACAACAACAACAACAACAACAGCAGCAGCAGCAGCAGTCTTCACAAATGGTACATCCTGGACAACCAGCCTTCGACATGGTCCTCGACAGCCCTGTTGGCCCCATAGAAAAAGACGCCACTGAAGAGCTAATGAACCCCGAACCCGACTCCTCTTGGCGCTTACTCCTACTCCCCGGCGCAGCTGTGGAACTTCCCCTTTCAGAAATTCCTTCCAGAAGAGGAACAGAACACACAATCGGCTCCTCCACGTCGGCAACTACTAGCATGACGGAGGACGGGAGCGGCAGTGCGCAGAGTAGTCGGTACAGCGGCGAAGAGGGAAGGCGATATGGGGATCAGGTTACCCCTGTCTTGCCGGTGCAGGCCAGGGTGAGTAGTACAAACGGAAACGGGAAGGGGAACGTGCCGGCGGTGATTGATACCGCGGCTGCGAACGGACACTGGAGGAGAGGAGGGACAACAAGCGAGGCGGATGATTTGGTTAGTCCGTTGACGGCTGTCAGTCCCGGGAAGTATGGAGGGCGATTCCTTGCAGCTGGAAATATCACGGGGGAAGGGGCGGGGAGTGGAAGCAAAGGTACCAGTGCAGGTGTCAGTGGGCTGACGGTGAGGGTGTCGCCTGTTAATTCGCCAAGTAGGACTGCGGATGGAGGTGGGCAGGGACACGGGCATAGACTGAGTGCGAGTGGGAGTACGTTGATGAGGAAGATGGGAATGTCGAGTGTTGCCGAGTGAACGGATGCGGTGCGGTGCGATGTGCTGTGCTCTCGAAGGGCTCTGAGCGCCGAGGGCGGTGGTTTGTTTGCTTGTAGCGTGGTGTTTGGTGTTGGGCCAGGAAGGACATGACAATGGAGTCAATGATTGATTGATATTGTAGCTGCTGGCTGGTACTGCAACAATGATACGGAGAATCGAGCAAAACAGACCAAATTGACAAAAAAGGAGGAACACCAACCCGAGCTCGATTGGTATATGTGATGATATGACAAGAGTGGGATTCGAACCCACGCCCTTTCGGACCACGGATTTCTCGAGATGAGGATTAAGGGTTAACCTTAACGTGGCGCCTTAGACCGCTCGGCCATCTTGCCTTTGAGTTTGATGAAAATTGGATGTGGGTGGGTGGGTTATGAAGGTGCTGGTTGTGGGTGGTTTGTGAAGAGTTTTCTTTGAGGGATGTCCCGGTTTTTGTTGGTTGGATCCCCCCTCCCCACACTTTGGACCCTGGGCCCCACTACTTGTGTGTGCGCAGCCTAAAACGGACGTGGGTATAGTCTCTTTAGAATCCTATCCTCACGGTGCAGTATTTCGATATGGCTTAGAAAACCGTCTACTCTTCTTTTTATCCAACTCATCGATCTAACGTCTCCTATCGCCTACGAGTAGTGTAGTTACGTTCTCAGGTGGTAGGAAAAAAGGTCCGGACATTCGCTGGGTCTGGGTTGGTATAAGCGTGTTCGGACTTTTTTTCACACCACCTGGTTCTTTACAAGGTGTCGGTACATTGCGACAAGGTCCCTCTACCCCCACATTTGTCCGGCTTAGTGGGACAAGGTTCCGGAGGAAGTGGGGTCGGGACAAAGGCTTAACCGGCAGCCTACTTAACTGGTACATAGCTTGGATTTCTTGCTGTGTCGTCGTCTAAAAGCCGCTTCTTCTCCATCTGGTGACATGTGTCAGCAATTCACAATGTAAGTGCAAGTGCGTTGGTCTTCGCTAGAGGTAGTCGTTGGATAACGAAATGTTCTGAGCATCCGGAAATCCGGAGTATACGTACGGGGTTCATACCGGATTTTCGTTGCCTGCGAAAAATGTCAAAGTTGAGGGAGCCACGGGTAATCAATCACTTTTCCACTTTAGACTCTCGGGTGATCGGGTCCCGATGTGCGGCCGGGGGTGCCGATAGGCCGATGGGTGCGGTGTCCACTGTTGTCCGACTCCGTGGGGCGGGCGGTTCTTTCGGCGAAGCGGGGTACGTATAGAGGATAGGACCGGGATCGGGTCCCCCTTAGGTCCGGATATGGGAATCTAGCGGCTTTCAATTTGTTCTTAACAGATGTGTCCGAGCGAGACTCACTATGATGTAGGCGGGAAAGCGCCAACGAAAGCCGACAATAGATAGGTATGAATATTAAAGTTTGTGATTGTTGATTGGATCGGGATTTTGTTTTCTTCTGGGACCCCTTTTCGAAGAGAATCTCATCATCCCATCGATGTGGTTCATGCAAAATCGCGTCATACTGATTATGTCTCAACGAGGACGAACTTACCGAGCAATCAATATGGATTACCAACCGCGCTCGCCCTGCTGACAAGTTTTGCCATGGAAGATACCTAGGTAGTTGAGTCCGGATACGGCCTCGATAGGTAGCTGACCACCCTCTACCCGGTCATCCGATCCTTGATCTTCGGTGCGGAAGTAAGTCATATTGCCGAGCCGCTGAATGACGGCGGCGGCGGCGGTCACCGTACGTGATGGACAGGATAAGAAAAGAAAAGAAATCGAGGTGGTTATGGGGATATTCCTGATTTTCTATGGCATTGGTAATTAAAGCTGTGTTTGCGTGTGTGGTATACCCTAACCGGGGTTATATGCGTTTAAACCTTATGAGTATGCGTCTAGGCCAGATGATATGCGGTTTGGATGCATACCATTGCAGACATACTCCGTAAGCCAACATGGCTCTAAGGTGTATGTGTTTTCGTAGAGACTTACAAATCAACATTATTTCCTTTTGCCTCGCTTCTTGATGAGTAAACATAAGACAATCAGATACCTATTGCTGACCTTGAATCCCGTCACCAGGTCGATGGCGAGGATTGTCCTACATGTACCGACGGAAGTGGATATAGCCAACTTCCTTGGTTGTTATTCCACTGTTGAAGCCACTTCCATACTACGTATTGTCTTTTCGTTGACTGGCGCGGTCACGTACCGCTCAGTAAAAACGCATTGCTCGAGTCGTAACGGTCTCTGGTCTGGAGTCAGAGGTGTCAATGGCAAGAGCGAGTGAGGTAGTCGCAGTGGCTTAACTTGAGCTTGACCTGGTTATTTCGTGGCATGACACATGAGTGGGCTGAACGATCAGTGCCTGGAAGTCCGGAACTCGGATTTCGGAATGATTGTCAGGAATTGTGGGATCGGGAAATAAGAGAGTCATATTTAGAACTTCTACCCAGTGGCTTGATATTGTATCTGGAGGTAAGGACTGTAAGGTACCTGCGTCAGAACCTCACGGATTGGAAGTTACGAAGACTAGGTACCTAGGTAGGTATGCACATGCCCAGTTGATTCAAGCCATCCTCCCTTACCAGACAGCAGTTTACCTTCTCCTTGTTTTCGCAGGGCACAAGGTGCGCATATGAAGGAAAATGTTGGACAAAGGGCCATCCGAAGGCTTTTTTCCACGGCAGAGCCTATAGCCCAGAGGGAAGGACAAAGCTTAAGTACCCGGTGGCACATTCTCGGAAGTTACGATCGGGTGGTGGAACCCAGGAACTCGGGTTCTGTATGACGAGTGGTGAAACCTGGAATTAGGAGAAAGACATGTGAGACGTTGGTGTGGTTATACAGCAGTATTCGGGTGCTCAGGGGCTAGGATCGAACTGATATTTGTGTCATGATACCTTTTCCGAAAGCTGAATAGCTTGAACAGGTCGTAAAATGAGTGGTTATACCGACATTCTACAGGCATATTTAGTACACATGACGATGGGCGAAGAGTCTAGACTCATGGGTTTCATTGGTATTAGACACTTCTGGCTTCTTTCTTCCCTGACCGATGGTCGCGAAAATGAATCGTGTGACTCCAAGTCCAAGAACAGAACAATATAGGACACTACCTAGATGCCGATACTAGACATGGATGGAGCAGTCCTCAGGAGCACGGTCTCGTTGTCAAAAGGTGCCACATTCTGCGTGATATTCTCTGAGCTATACCCCTAATCTTGAGCCGCTTGACTATGAAAAACATTCCCCAAGAATAGGAGCCAGGCATTGAAGTCAATCGCAGAAGCCGCAAAAGCCGACCTTCCCCACTGTATTACGTTCCACCCAACTTGCCCAATAATAACCTAATGTTCGGGATCAGTGTCAGGAACAACGAGGAAGAAGAGGTGGCTGTGCAGTAAATATTGAGCGTGTGACCTACACTGGACACTTCCGCCTTTAGGTAATGACCCGAATGCTTCTGGAATCCTTTAACTGAGCCACCTCATGTTTGCGTTCTGTTGGGGAGGGAAGTGGAAAACGGCATAGAAGACATCTACCGTAGCGGCTGGAAGGTTGCTGGAATCCTCAAGGTGTCATGCTCTGGGCAACGATATCCTGCGGCTCGTACTATAAGGTACCTACCTGGTCTTGGCCTCTTGGTATAAAGTCATCTAGGTATCTTGGTTCAACGGACATAGCGAGATGAAGAAATCTGGGACGGTATGGCATTTCCTACCCGTGACCGTGCATGTGGGTTTGAAGCTCGTGCAAAGCAACGTAATAGGTAGCCTGAGGGAAGTATGTTTCCGGCACAGCTCCTACCCTCAAAGACGTATTGGGAACCGCCAAGGGGGTCACAGCCCAATAAGGGAGGCATCCAGAATCTGACAACCACCCAGAGCCATGTCAGCTAGGGCTTTGATTCACTGATGATTGAACTAGCCTGGATAGATTCGACGTTGAGGCGCTGCGTGCGTCATTGGATCGCGGTACAGCCAGCTGCCAGGCCCTTGCTTCCATGTGGGTGTGGTCTGCGGCACTGCACACGATATCAAATCGAAGATGACCCAACTGTTGAACATCGACTGAAAATGTGTCCTCTTGGGGCCATATGTTGGTAAGAGAGCCTTGGGCTGGCGGTATGCTGATAATATCTGCCTGGCTTCTATAGGTACAGGTATTCAGGAGGCCAACATGATAATACTACCGTACCGCCTCAACCAAACTCCAGAGTTCTCAAACAAAACTTGAAGGCATCAAGCGCCATAGTCACACAGCAGGAATATCGAGCTGGGGCTGATGACCCGGGCTGAAAGCCAAATAAGAACGGCGTAGTAGAGTTGATCCAAAGTTCAACGTCCAAACCAAGAGCTATCGAGTCTCACAACATGAGGTGATGTTCTTCCCTTCAACGCCACTGACCTGGTTTCCCAGTTCCCTGGGCTCACCTCAGCAACAGAACAAGGTCTTTCTCTCAACGGAACCAACAACACGGGACAAGTATTGCCAGGCCGGAGTGCAGCAGTCGAGCTTTGTACGAGATTAGACAGGGAAAGCGTGGGGTAGCTTACCCAGTACTCCATAGTTTTCACCCACTTTGTCTGCAGGAGATATGCGACGACAACAGGCCGTGAGATGGAGGTCCTTCCTGGGCCTCGAACTGAATAAGACTGTCAACAAAAGACAGCAAAACAAGACTTTCCTATGGACTTCAGAGATTCTATGTAGGTAAGCAAAACAGACCTGAACAAGACATCAGATAGCAACTGTTGCGCGTGAACCTCACCTACCTCTACTTCTATGTAGAGGTACCCATTCACATCTAGCTTATGTGATGATGGTGTACCGCACCGTCCATACGAGGTGACATCGCCAAAGTTCTAAAGCGACTTCGGAAATGCTTCCTGTGCATCTCCCGCTTGTCGGGTCCGGTGCTGGTGGTCTCGGATTTCAACTTCTCGGTGTGTTGCTTGCAGCAGAACTTCGTCACCTGCATACAACAAGACTCTGAAAGACCACTAATGCTGAAGGTTTGTTGAAAAGATGGTGCTGATTCCTCGCTAAAACCCCCCCTATCAACGGGGTCTGCCGAGAGTGTTACAGTTGCAATATTCTACGCATTGCACTAGTGACTTCCACTGCTACCCACCCACTCACTCAGCGGGTGACTCGGAGAGTTAATAGTGCGGCGATACGGCGACGACACGCGGAAAGAGAGAGACGCTTTAACGCTAAAGGGA